TAAAATGGGTATAATAAATACATACTCATCTGCGCTTACCCCGTAAGCTGGGTGATCTAACGACTGCTCGTAATGTGCTTTGAATCAAAGCTGTTATGAGAAGGAAAAGCTGTTTTTATTTGTATAGCTTTGCTTTTTCACGAGTTTTGAGGTTATGAGGGTGCCTTAATTCAGGTTTGTTAGACTCTAGTGGAGCTTAGTAAAGTCCCCTTGGCAATTTCTCTGCTTTTCTACCTACTTTCCCAGTTAACTAATCAGGAAGGTGGTGGAGCAAGCCATGCGTCCCACTCTGGGGAGGCTTTGGTTAGAGACACAGCAGAGCTCTGCAGCAGCTGTGACCTTAATCCTGTTTTTAACCAGAGGAAATAGCATCTCTTCAGTGCATTCAGAGAGATCTCCTTCATCTTGATGAGTCAGTTAGGAGAAGAGATGGGTGCTGGGGAGGCTGAATGCCTGAGGTGTATTTTCTTTTCCTTTCTGAAACTGAAGTGGACTTTGGAGGTGGGCAGTGTGATCAAGCTGCAGCCTTGCCTTGCTGCTCCGTTAGTCATGGTCTGAAAAACAAGTGTCCCCTCTCTGTGTGCTCACAGTATTGTGTTTTTTCTTTCTAATGCTGCCAGGCAATATCCTATTGATATGTTAAATGTGGCTTGTGGAGAAAATATTGGTGCACAGGCTCTGTTTTTGTATTACTTGTATTTTCTTCAGCCGCCTGACCTAAGCACAGAAGACAGCCTGTATTCCTGCTGACGCTTTAATCTGAAATGTCCTGCTGCATTTGCTCGTTTCTTCCTGAGAGTCGTATCTAATCTGAGCTCTTGGCAGGCACGTGTGGAGCTGACACATGCATGTCTCACAGAAGAATTTTTCTTTTATCAGTTGTGCTCTGGCCTTCATGCATTACAGTCACATGCCAGTGGCATTTCCCCAGGGGGTGAAAGCAAGGACTTGTTTCAGTAGCAGGAATTTTCCTGAAAGACCTTCTGCCAGAAAGGCTGTGCTCTCTGCTTGCTGTGCTGTTATTTCAAGGAAGCACGTCTTCAACCCCATAACTTCTCTCCCTGCCATGTGGTCATTTATTTGTGGCCATTAGTAGTAAAGAAGAAATGGTGCTTGGAATTTAAGACATACAGCACAGCTTTTGGAGGCTTTTTAAGCATGTTGAGCACAAGGTTGGTAAGTAGTGCAGTAAGGAGCGCTTTGGGGCAGCTGATGCGCAGAGCAGCCCATGGTTTACCTTGCTCAGCTCAGGTTGCGAGGCAGTGGCAGGGGTAAAAACGGAGTGTGACTCTTATTTCCAGTTCCTCCTCGAACTGGTTGATGCCATTTCTGCTGTCTCTGCAAAGGGCACTAATTAATCAGGCCTGTCCTAGGAAGTGATATACAATGGAAAAGAGTTTTTGTTAAAATATAGACTGCATTTCTTGGGCAAATCTTTGGGTTCTGGTGCAAATTATTTGAAAGTAATCTTCTAGGCCATTTGTCCTTGGTGGCAGCAGTCCTTGTCGCTGTCCTGGGGACAGGCATTAATCCTGGCAGGGGAAATGCTCCATCCAGCTGCACTGTCAGGCAGCTTTAAGGCAAAGGACAGCTGCGTGTGCAGCTCCAGCAACATACTGCGCATCCCCTATCTGACACGCTCCTTCCTCATATGTAGGTGGATTTCCCTGTTCCTCCTTTCCTCTGGAGTAAGTGACATTCAGCTCTGTGTCAGCCAGGGAACCGGAGTTTTTCCCCATCCATTCCTCTGCTCCACGCAAGTACTGTGGCACTGATGTGTACGTCCAGCGTCGGCACAAGCAATCTTCCTTTGTACTCCTCTTGCCAAATGTTGCCCTAAAACAGGACAGGTCCCCTGTGAAATTGTGCCTGGTATTACAACAAGTGCACAATTCCTGTTTTTTTTTCTGCACTACTAGTCTGTTAACAGGGACCTAGCTCCTGGCTTCAATTTCTTTTCCTCTTTAGTCATAGCACGAGAGCTGCCCACTCCGGCTATCCATGATGCACCAGCAAGTTGTCAGTGAGCGGGATGTGTGTTGCCTGGCAAAGAGCCGGCTCTGGCACACAGCTTCTCTTGGCAGCCTGCCCGTGTTTACGTACGCTGTGAGCTGTGAAGAAGTGGCCAAGAGAGAACCAACTGCAAGGAGTTGTTGAAAAGTTTCATGTAGTAGTGTTGCTGGGGTAATGATGGCCTAAAGCTATAGGGAGGAGAAAAAACCCATTTAAATCTTTCAGGAGGCTGGTTGGTACATGGAGAAATGGGGTGGGGTTGGGCACATTTGCCTTTCTTCAGGATTTTAGTTTGCACAAATACCTTTAGTCAGGAATGCTCCTGTTCAGGATGCTGGAACTGGAAGAAATCAGCTTTGTAGTTGTGTAATAAATGAAACATAATTTAGTCTGGCAGTTTATAGGAGGTCCCTTTCTGAGCAAAAAAAGTACTTTCATTCTCATCTTGCAGGTCAGTGCTTTGAAATCGATGCATCTGTTGGAGATACATGGCTGTTACACATTTAGCTGGATATTGGCAGGGACTCTGCTGAGGCACGACACAGAGGTGATGGCTTGCCAATAGAAGTAATAATAATCTTTTGCTATTCATTCAAGGACATCATACAGCAAAGTAAATACAAATCCAGAGTGATCACATGAAATCCCTCCTATTTTATGGACTCATGAATGTATGAGTGAGGAGCTCTAGTTTCAGAAGAGGTTAAAGGGAGAGAATCCAGTCTGGAGCTAGTCCTGGGCAGTTTAGAGTTGCCCTCCAAGCAGGAAATGCTTTACAGTACTCAACACGTCTTAACAAATCCACATGATGTAGGCTTTCTCCAGAAAGCAGGTTGCATAGTGTAAGGTCTGTTCCTCAGTGAAACGTCAGTGTCAGCTAGTGACTTATGTGCAGGGATAAGGCAGCAGTAAGTGTCAGGCACAAAAAGCAGATTGCAAAAATAGCTGTGATCTAAAACCCTAAAAACAATGGGCTCCTCTGGCAGGGATAAAAATATAATTCTTTTAACTTAGGGTATCTTATGAGAAGAAGGAATAGTAAAGCAGGGGAAAGAGAATTTGGAGAGGAAAGCTAAATGAGCCATTTTATGCTCTTGGATTACACCAGTGCAGATCTGTCATTGAAGTCATTTACACCAGTATAACCGAGAACCTGTCTCAAAGCATTTCAGCAGCTGGAAGGGATTTATTTAGATGGAAAGAATGTGTTCAGCATAGCTTGGCCAAATGACACCTATGGTGGACTTGGCAGCTGTTAGCAAGTATTTATAGGATGTAAACAGCAAGGGGAAGGAGGATGGAAATAGAGCAAACCGTGAGGGAACAGAAAAATGGGATGAAAATGGGAAAAGGAAGATTTTTACTGCTGTATGGCTTGGACTGCAAAGCATCCATCCAGGTGGAATGAACTAACTGACATGCTTGGTATTAATTAGACAGAGCATTTGAAAACAGAGGCTGTAATTTTGTACTAATAAGGCGGCAATCGGCCTCCACTGCTAATTTCTCTGTTTTTGTAATGGTTTTGTAGAACAGACAGGAATCTCTCTCCCATTAGGGGATTGCTGTTTATAAGAGCTGTTTATAAGATCAGATCAAATGTTCTACCTCTGCTTTCTCATTTCTGATAGCAAGTAGTAGCGATTGCTTCAGAAATGAGTATTTGCAACAATTAGCAGCTTCTGAGCTTTCTGAATGCAAGGCTGCAGCTCTCATTTTTCACGTTTAGTAGCCACTTACAGCCTGGTACCTTTGATTCATCCAGTCCACATTTAAATCCATTTGTGATTTGACCTCTTCAGCATGTGGTAACAGTAGTTTCCCCAATTTGTGCTTTACATACAAGTGTGTCTGTGTAAATTCTTTCCTTTCCATTAAACTTTCTGCATGGTGATATCATTGGCTGGCCCTGCATATCTCCCGTCAGTCATCATCTTCCCCAGTCAGAGATTCGAGTCTAGTTTCTTTTCACGTGAAGTTCCTTCCATATTCTGGTCATCTTTTATGCTTCTCTCTGTCACTTTCTAGTTCTGCTATTTTTTTTTCATGAGAAGTCTGAGGTTTGCTTGCAGTTTTCAAAATTCTGGTCCATCCTGGATGTATGTTCTTATATTTTCTGTTTTATTCTGCTTTCTTTAATTTGCCTTTTGAATTTACACTGAACACTAGGTTAATATTTTTCAGAGAATATCCACAGTGGTTCCAAAAATGTCTCTGCGTGAGCAGAGCTAGTTAAGAGCTCATTGCTGTAGGGGCATTGCTACTCTGTTTTTCTCTTGTCCCATCAGCACTGAGGTTCATCTGTTGTTTATCACTTGACTCCATCATTGCTCTGAGGTCCTTCCACATTTCTTGATTTCAAGGAAGATTGCAGATTCACTATCCTGAAGGAATTTGTATTATCCTCAAATGCTGCCTCCTCATCTGCCCCTCTCCTGGGTCTGTGTGCTGAATGAAACTCCTACCCTCTCATCACTGTTTGCCTCATCTTGCTCTTTGTTTTCCATATTCAAAGTCATTATTAATCCATGTGGTGACCCATCCCATGATCCCAGGCTGGCTGAGTTTCTTTGAAGAATCCCTGGAAAAGACTCTTGTGGAAAGGTCTCTGAAGTCCAGCTGTCCTTGGCTGCTTTGGAAGAACCCTAGTAGAATTTTTTGATGCATTGCTCTCTTACAGCCTTGTTGACTTTTCCCTTCCATATCCACTGGTTTGATTCTTGGCTGTTGTTTTTGTATCGCTGTCTTTCGTGCAGAAGTCCAGCTGAGTGGTCTGTGCTTCCTAGGATCTTCAGGGAGTCTATTTGAAGATTTCTGCGTTCATGACATCTTTTTCTGGCTTTGACGCTTGTTTAGCAAGAGATTGACAGTTCAGCTAGTACACACTCGAGTTCCCTTAGAAGGTGGCATTCATGTCTTTATGCTCTTTCAATGGCTGTTTGTCTGATAATGTTTTTTTGTTTGTTTTTTTTTTTCCTTTGGCACAGGGGATGCTCCCAAGTGGGAGTTATCAGAGCACTGATTGAAGCTGGCATCCCTGTAGATATGATCGGAGGAACATCTATTGGTGCTTTTATGAGTGCCTTGTATGCCGAAGAACGCAGCTACAATCAGATGAGGATTAAAGCTAGGCAGTGGGCCATGGTAAGCATTGGAAATGTTGCACTTCTCAGATGGAGTGTAAGAGCTTAACCGCAAGCCTTAGCAGGCAGTAGTGCACAAGCAGCCACCCAAGCAAAGTGCAGCCATCTGCACTTCGGTGTCTGTACAGCGAAAAGGGCCCCTGCCCAGCAGCGAGGGAGTGAATTGGGAAAGCTGCTTGCTGTTGTGCTGGCAGGCAGTGCGGGTGCCTGAGGAGACAGGAGTCAAATGCTTGACTTTGCTCTGCACAAATTCTAGTCACACTATAAACGTAGAGTGATGTCGTTTAAGTGTGTTAGCCTGTGTTTATCTTTGTTTTATCTTCTCTTTTTATGTGCTAGAATCTGTTTCCTTTCCAACTCTCAACAAATGTGTTTCTCTTTTGTATAATTTTCTCTCTTTCGTTCTCACATGCTGTCATTTTTCAGTGGAACTGATTGACAGAGGTAATCCTTCTCTAAACTAAATACAAAATGTGTAATTCACGGTGTAGCCTGAGAACTCCAGAGTGTGGTACTCTGGTTCAGGGGAAATTTTTAACTTTAAATATTTAATAAAAGCAAAACCATATTTTCATAGTTAAACCAAGGTTTGGGAACATTGTTTTAAATAGTGACTTCTGTGGGTGAATTTATTTATTGATAAGTTGTTGGGGAAAAATTGTACTAGCAGCAGATTACACTGGTTCAAATTGACTAAAGGTGAAGATTAGTGTTATTTCTGAAGTTTGCTAGTTACAGCTTTGCATTGTTCATATGAAAACCACATTTTCATGTTGGTTTTCTTATTGAAAAGGAAGCAACATGGATAATTTTCTAAATTAGATTAAGCTCTGGGTCTGCTTAGATCTTGAGTTTTAGGGAGAAATAGGGGTCTGTAGTTGGCACATGTATACTGCTTACCTTTCCCAAGTGTCTTCTAATCTGCCATGGCTTTGAGACGAAATCTACTGTACCTTGGCAAGCTAAATAGTCTGGGGCATTAAAATACATATTGAGGCCCCAGCGTGTTTGTGCTGTCCTGGTGGGCAGAGGACCATGGGGCTCTGTTTCACTTCCCTGTCACTGTTTGCTAGAAGAATGTGGATTTTGTGCTTTTTGTTTAAGAACTGTCTGTGCCTGGCTGGGTTGGGAAGCACCTGAAACATAAACTGTGTATAATACAGAGCAGTTTGCTGGAATCGCAAAGGTGGAGGAGACTTGAGATTAAGGACATAAAAACAATTGTACTGAATCGTATCAGACATCCCTTTAACCTTGCACTCTTTATTTCCCACATCGGTCACTACCGAATGCTTACAGGACAGCATATGAGCAGGGTGAGCATGTGGTGATACCTCCCTGCAATGTTTTCCTAGTCTCCAACAATCTGTCTCACAGCTCTCTCCCCCTTGCTCTTGGTTAGGCTGGAGTGTTGGAATTTTCCTCCGTGCATTTGACCAGAGGATTATCTGCTCTTATTTTTTAACTTGTCAGATCTCTTCTGTGCAGGGGGTGATGCAGAGCTGGAAATACTGTTTTCGGGGCTTGTCAGGGCTGTGCTCCCATCGAAGCCGGCCTCATTTCCAGCACTGCAGCTCTTGAGCTTGCCAGCCTAATCTGGAATCACACTTGCTTTTACCAGGAATAGTTAAAGGTGAAATGAAGAAATTTAATCTATTGATTAACTTTTGAACACAAATTGCAAAGCTCAGAGAATGTTTCACAAAGGAAAAGGCAGGTTTTGGCCCAGCTTCAGGCTGTTTGAGGTATCGGTACCTTGAAATCTGCAAATAAATAGCTGGAGGAGAGGTTAATGACCTCTGTTAGAGCAAACATTTCATCTTGTTAATGAAGAATGGATTCTCTTGAGGTTTTTCATGAGTGTTCTGACAACCTTGCCACGTCCACATCCAGACTAGAAATTGTTCAAGGGTTTGAGAATGAAAAAAGAAAAGACCGCTCTGTTTGAAGCCCTTTTCACTGTTAACAGCACAGTCCAGCAAAATGGTTGCATTGTAAACTGAAGAAAACCATGAAAACCCTCTCTCCAGGATCAGATCATAGCTAATGTACAAAGTAGCTTGAGGGATTATAAATCTTTTTAACAGTGGCTATTCTGAGTTATTTTCTCCTGTATTGTGTTGGAGCAACTGTAGACTGAGCAGGGAGAGTGGCTCCTTTCACTGAGCACTAGCTCTGTGTGTAACAGCAGGGAGATTTGTTGGGGATTCATGGAAGATCCACCCAAAGGAACCGAGTATGAGTGAGGTGACAAACCCAGTAGATAAGCCCCAAATTCCCAGTGTCCGGAAGTTATGGGACTGTTCCTGCTGTCCTGCAGAGCAGCATCACTGCCGGCGAGGACCACTGCAGGAGGCAGCTGCTGTGCAAGGGATGCTCTGGGAGCATCCTTCATTAAGCCAACGTCATGCAAAAAAGGCTTGAGCACTCCCTGCTACAGAAGCTGCTGATTCTGTTCCTCTGAAGCCTGTGAGCTTCTCCTGGTGAAGGTTATTGCTGAGTGCTCTTTGTGCAAAACCTTGCAGCCTGGCTTTTTTAGCGTGTGGGGTTTTTTGAAATGTCTTCGCTGTGATGGATTAGATAACTCTGATACTTATTTATCTTTTTAATACATCAAAATAAATGCTGGTTTTGTCCTGCAGTTACTTCTCTTTTTGATATTTTTAGAGATTGGCATATCTCTAGTTGTACACTTGGGGCTAGGAGAAGGGATATTTTTAATGGGGTGGGTTTTCTGGACCTAATGAAGCAGCAAAGAAATAAATTACTCTTTTGTCAAAATACAGAGGGGTATGAAAATCACCTGTCAGGCTAGTTATTATATATTGCCTCTCTGTGTCTTCTCTATCTGTGTTTAACCAGCAAAACAAACAAACAAAAGCTTTCATGTTTGCAGGTTGTTGGGTTTCCTTGGTTTTTCAATTGGAGAATAAATACTTCAAAGTATAAGATTTCACAACGAATGGAATATTATGCTGTTGAAGGGAATACAGTTACAGGAATGTGTAGCTAAAAAGCTTCCCATAATGAGAATTAAAAATTGTTGGGTAGGATGCTGCAGTCATTTGCTGTCTGTGATTGTTTGTGATTATATGACAGCTAAAATAAATGGGGGGGGGGGGGGGGGGTTCTGAGGTCGCAGTCATGAGGTTCTGCCTCTCCCAAATGTGGCTCTAGTATTTGTGCATTGGGAGATACTGTGGTTTAATGAGCTGATCTGGCCAAAAATTCATCTTTCCCCCCAGCTGTCACGCTAGTTTCTGGCCAGCTCAGCTCCTTGAGCTGCCTGCTGCAAAGGCAGCCATGCTGAGCCAGGGCAGGGGAGAGGCAGAACCATCAGCCCCAGTTTGGGTCAGATCAAGCTGCTGTCAGACTGGATCCTGATACTCTTGATCCATTACATTTGTTGGTTTGAGGAAGAGAAAGCTGTTCTCTGCTGTAACGAGGTGATGCCTGCACCCGTAGCCTGTGTGGAACCAGGTGCAGCTTAACGATGGCTTGGGAGCACAGCAGAGGAGCATGGTGGCAGCGTGCGACTGCCCTGGCCTGGCTCAGCAGAAGGGTTAGTGGGGAAAGGTGCGATGCCCATGCCATGGGGACCACAAATGGTCCTTCTGCTGTGGAAGTCAGAGGGAGAGCATCATAAGTAGGTGCAGTGTTTCATAAATCACTTTGCATCCTACACTATTTTATTTTGTTTGTATGCCAGATCTTCCTGTATAACAACAGCTACAAGGACAGATCCCTGCAAACAAACACAGAATCTGAGCTGAGTGGGCAAATGTTGCCAAACTAGATTGGCATGAAGAGCAGGCAGGATATTATGGGAAAGATACCTCCTGACCAGGAGAGATCAGCAAAATAAACTGATACCAGTCCCCCAGGTGAAGGTAGTCTTGGTTACTGTGACTTAGCACTGGTTCAAGCACAGCAAAAGGTAATATGAGCTAAAGCAGCTTTAAAGTGCAAAGCGAATCCTAAATAAGAGGTTCATTACAGATGCATGTTAATGAATGTGCACATATTGTCTCTTAAATTGGGTTGATGAGCTGCAGCAGAGAACCTGCTTTGGGTGTCCTCCAGCCTGCTGGTGCTCGAGGACAGCATTGGCCTGCCAAGGCATATTCTGCTGTGGTTTGGTGCTTTTTAATTGCATCTTTAAAACTTTATCAACCAGTTTGGAAGGTTTTATTCACTAGGCTTGTCTGCTTGCAAAAATTAAACCAGGGCAGATTGCTTTTCCCTTGTAAGCCAGCTGAACTGTTCCCTCTTGTTGCCTTTCAGATGGAATTCAGTATTTGACATTATTAACAACAGAAGACAAAAATACTGGATGTGGTTTTGTTAAATCTTAAAAATTTGTTACATCAAGAGGTACAGGAAAAATCTATTTTCATGTAGCGATAAGGCCTGATGGTTCCTATTTACCATTTCAATCATGTTATTTGGGGTGTTGAAATTACCCTAAATCAAGGATTATAATTTGGGAGATTCAGATAAAAGGTTGTGTGCAAAACCCAAACATGCCTATTGCTTTGAAATGTCCTGTTAAGACACCAAACCTTCCTATTTCTACCGTGTAGCGATCACGTCAACTAATGATCATGCAAATGCATGTTAATGTTACAGGATCAGGACATCTGAATCTGGTTTTAAACATACCTTTACTTACCTTGCTTCTCTCCTTTACCAGACTCTGAGATGGCTACAGTTTCTTAGATGGGTTAATTTCAATTTTCTTCAACTCTTAGATTTCTTAATAGTTTACCTTTAAATCTGAACTTCCATTATCTGTAATTCCTGCCTTCAGGATAAATATATCCTTGTAGTGCTCTTTATCTGAAACTGTTGGCCTAAGTTATTTTTTTTTATTTCGCCTTTAACATTTCTTTTTTGTGAATTCCTTTGCTTGTTTCACTGAAACTTCTATGAAACACTGAAAAGGTACTAAAAGAAATTTTGGATGCTATCTCTATTAGTTTAAAAAATATTTAATCTGTTCTGCTGTTTTAAATTTTTGTTCTCGCAATAAGTTTTTCCATACCCTTGCTTATTTTTATACTCAGGAACATTGAAAAATCCTGGGATTGTCCTGGTTTTTGACACCATTTTACCACCATTCTGCATCAAAGAACAAATAGCCAGAGATTACAATTCAGGTTTCTTTTTGTCCATCATCATGTGCATTTGCTCTTGTTCTTCTGCTCTGTGAGAAGAACCTTGTCCCTTCCTTGTTGAAGTTGCCTTATGCCACAGGGTAACTTTAAAAAATAATTTTAGGATTGAAGGTCTTTTTAAAAAGAAAGCTCATCTTGCAGCAGAGCTGTAGAAATGAAAGTTCATGAGAAGTTAATGAAGGATTGCAGAATACCCGCTCACTCCGAAGAGAACTGGTAGAGATGCCTTAAGGATGCGCTTCCATGACTGTACTGTAGGGAACGGAAGCTGCATCATTCTTGGAGGCGCTGGTGTTGGCCCTTGTGCTGCTGGTTAGTAGAGAAGTATGAAGAGGAGCAGAAGTCAGAAGGCTCTGGCTGCCTTTCCAAAGGGTGATCTTTAACTTCATTTATCTTGAGAATGGTAGGTGGTAGCAGCTGTTCTTGGAAGGCTGAGGGAGGCTGTTGGCCATGAGCATCAGCTAAAAGGGCATCTTCCAGTTATGAGAAATGAGAATATTAATAAATAACTGTTAATTAGAAGTATTTTGTTCATGTACGAGATTACTGCAAGCATTAATTGCAGGGAAAATGTAGAGGATCAGCGTTCTAAAGATCACTTGCCACAAGGATAGCCTGATGTTTGGTGCTGAGCTGGAGAGATTTTTCTTCAGTATTAAATAAAGGACTTTTTGTAAATGCCTCTTTCCCTGATTTAATCATTCTAAGTAACGTCAAAGACCAAATCCCTATTTTAAGTACAAAACTAATTCCATTTAACTCTGAAGCTGTGGGTAGCGTGTCTATAGTTAGGTTGGCACACTGTCGTCGCCCCATCAGAATCCAAAATGAAGACCTGAGTGAAGGTGACAGGTTCATAATTGGTTTTGTGCTAAGCTTTTACATTCTACCATGTTTCCTGTTCATATACTTGTTTTTAAGGATCTTTTTTATTTTTTCTTTTTTTTTTTTTAATACTTGGACATGCATTCTCTGTGCAGATACCCAATATATATTTAAAAGCAGCTGGACATGACAATGTAGGCTAATCCTGCTGCTCTTTAAATAATTGCTAAAGGAAAGCAAAGGCCAGATGTCAATCACAGATCTTTTAATAGACTGCAGGTTTAGGGGCTGTTTCGTGCTATAGGTCTCTGACTGGGTACAATGTCTTATTGTCTGTTAAGTAGTTTGTTAAATTATAGAGAACAGAGAGAGAGAAGATATTTCATCTAATAGAAATATTTCATCCAGTGAAATCCTATTTAATTGCAAATGAGTTAATTGGGCTTTTTGGTCTTCTATTGCATTTTAACCAAGTATGATGTAATATGTTAGGCACTGAATGTTGTTAGGATTTATTAGGATTTGAGACCAATAGCGTGGGTTTGGGACAAATGCAGTGGCCATTATGTCATATAGTTTAGGTATTTTTGTCATTTTATCTTGTAGGTTAGTGCACCAATGTAATGCACTTGAAATGGGGGGGGGGGGGGGGGGAGGCCAGGGGGGTTTATTA